AGTTTAGTTCATTTTAGTAATTTTACTCATTCATGTTTGGGTTCATTCAATTCAATTTTGATTCATCTTAGTTATTCAACTTTCTAAACGTCCATTTGTTACCCAATATTTTTAAAAGTTATCAAATGAGTATTTATTTAAAAAAAGTTTAATACAAATTTTATACAAAATAAAAATAATTTAATACAAATTTATGGCTACATTTCAAGCAATTTAGTGGTTGAAGTGTTACGCTAATATTATGGTTAAAAAAATGAGATAAAAATGAAAATAAATGGACCAAAATGGTTAATTTTTAAATGTACATCAACCAAAATGGACGTTTTGGAAGTACATTAACTAAAATAAACAAAAGTTAAATGTACTTAGACCAAAATGAACCAAAGTCGTGGATCAAATTTCAAAATAGCATTTAGACCTAAAAAGTATCCAAAGAAATTACTAACATGGATCCTATATCAATATTAATAAATTGTAAGTGAAATGCTTATTTATTATGATTTTTTTACTTAAATAAATTTTTAGAAATATTCATTAACACCAATATTTTATCAATAGTCTCGACATCGACATCTATTTAAAGTTGTTTTGAAATTTAGCTAATAAGTTAAAAACATTTTCAAACCTTCATAATTATTTAACACTAAAATCATTTTAACTTATCTGATTCCATAATGATTTTAGTGTTAAATAATCACGAAGGTTTCTTATTAGAGCAGTAATGACCCTCTTACAAGACTGAATACTCTTTGGTAATCGATAGTAAAGTAATACCATGAAGAAATGGCGAATTCCATATCACACTACTCCGATTCTTAGTTCCTCCCTCATCTTTTTGCAATTTCTCTATGATTCCTTTTCATTATCCTTTATTACTTTTATTTTTTTGAATGGCCATTATCCTTTATTTTGAGTTGTGCTTACTGACTACTTAACCTAATATTAAAAATTTGACAAATAAAAAAGATGCATGCATAAAAAGGAGAGAATAGCTATCAACTATAGTTACCATTAACACTTAAATAATTCAACTTTAAAACATCTATAAAGAACAACAAACACACAAACTTTTATTTTTGACAATTACAACAACAACAACAACAGAACTACAACTGACAGAAACTTCCAAAGTAAATACTTATTCCATATCACACTTGCAAATACAGCCTATGATCGGCAGTTTAAAGAGATTAGAGGAGCTGGAATCCGCTGGGGACGAGGTTGACGATGCTGAGGAGGCCCTGCAGCTTTTTACTGACGAACTGCAACCGCGAGAGCAGACTCCCAGTAGACGGAAGCGACGCGTTGCAGTTCGACAGTGGCGTCTTCACAACGACATTGCAGTTGTTTAGGACTGAAGAGAGAATGAACTGCAGAGGATCCAACAAGATCGAAAATATCCCCATGTTGTTTGTTGTTACACTCGACACCACGTTCCCGTCTCCACACTCCATTTGCACTGCTGCATCTGCCAAATGGCAGCCGTACTATTAGCTATTTTGTTTTTGGTTTTCTGTCTCTTAAAATTAAACTTATAAACACTACTTCCAAGGGTTTGTTTCTGTGTCCCGAGGACAAAAACAACTTTTTTTTACTGAAAAGTTGAAGAATCAAAACGAAAAAAGATTTTAAAGATAGAAACATGAAACTGTATTATACAGAGAATTAAAGGCATACTTGGGAAAACAGGAGTAGCAGTGCCATTGATGCCAATGTTGCCATTGGCAGTGCAAAAAACAGTTCCTTGGATTCTGATAAGCCCAAGGAGAGAGCCAATAATCCCAAGCTGAGCTTCCACCATTAATGGAGCTCCCACAGCAGCAGCCATAACCAAAACCAAAAGAACTGATCTCAAACCCATTCTGTTCTCTTCTCTGCTTACAAACTCCACTCCCACACCCTGCAAATAAATAGGCAACAACAAGCTGATTTTTCTGACTTCTCTAACAAAAAGACACACAACAAATTGGAGAACTCCCTTTCTACTCCCTTTTATTTTTTTGGCCAATGAGATTAGGGGCTGCAAAATAGCAGGTTTAGCCTAAATAATTGTAAATTTGTCCTATTGCAAAGATGGCACGTAAAAAATATATATCAGTGATGTACTTCATATTTAAGTATATCGGTGATATTCTTTACCAATTATATAAAAATGATATATTAGTGATATACTTTGTATTAGATATGTTTCATAAAAAAAATGGCACCACTCATCGAATTTATTAATGATATAAGAATGGTACACCAACAATATACTTTATATTACTAGGTTTGTATTATACAAAAATAGAATATCAATGATATACATAATATGTTAGGTTTGCCAGGAAAATGTAAACAAAGTCTCACATTGGTTAGGGAAGGGAATGATCATAGTATATAATATAGGACAATTATCTCAATTGGTATGAGACATTTCAGGTAAAATCAAAAGCAAAGCCGTGAGAGTTATAGTCGGACAATATCATACCATTACGAAGATATGAAAAATATTTGGAGTATCGTTGTCCGTAAATTTACAAATACGACAACTAGTTTTGCCGTTGATTATAATTCCCTTTTAAGTTTGTACTTTTTTGTGTTTGAGATCTTAGTGGGGTTGCTCTAGAAGAAAAAGTTATGGTCTGCTCCATGAAGCTGAAATTCGCATGCGCAGCCGCTGTCCCAAATTCCAGAAATTGAAGATTTTGGTTCTTGTTTTGTTATGGAAAGGCCACACCCTAGGAGGAAACTTGACCTTTCTTCCAATCCATGGATGAAAAATGGTGATTTTTTATTCCTTTTGATTCTGAAAAGGCTATGTAGCTATGGGTCCATGGCTGAGCAAATTGGCAACCTGTTATCATTTTTCTTATCATTTCTCCACCGCCTTCTCGACACGTGGTACAAGGTGAGCTCGAGTCAGCGGTTATGGAAATTATTCCACGAGATTCGCATAATGAAACTCGTAACTTGCTTGCACGATACATGTTGTAGATTTAAGTGTTTGTCCCATTACACCGATTCAATCGAATTTATCTAATATGCATGTTAGGTTGAGCTTGCAACAAGAATCATAACAGGAATGTTAGTACAAAACGTAAAATCGTCCCTCCTAGAAAGATTATTACATAATAAATGAGCGTCTCATCCACCTATTGTCTTATTCTTTTAGTTTGTTTTAACACGTTGTAACCACTTCGACTAGATTTTTCACACATGGCTACCAACAATTCCGCCTTAAATTCTTAAAGAAGGAAAGGGAAGAGAAGGAATTGTATTGTGGTCGGCTTAAAAAGTCGTATTCCTACCATAATATCGATTATCTAGTGCTAGAAGCTTCATGAGTGTAATTGAAACTCTTAAAGCTAATAGTCTAAACAAACAGATAAAATTTATAATTTTTTTTAGTTTGTGGTTAGCTAGTCCTTTCGGAAAGTTTCCATTTTCAAATTGAAACATCATAGAAAAAGCAACGAGGATAGATTAAATTTATAATTTAATTTTTTTAAAAAAAAATTGTCATTAGTCCTTCAATCTATCATTAAAGTATTTGAGAGAAAAGTTTCTACATCCGAACTAAGATGTAATAAGAAAAAAGGTGGAGAAAGTTAGCCATCAAACTTCCTATTGCAATAGAGAAAAAAAGATAATAAATTCATTTATTACGGATTAGACTCAATTAATTTTGCTTTTCAGGCCACATTTGAGTAATTTTATCTCTTCCTTCTCCGAGCTCGAGTTATGGGAGAAGGAACCATGGAACGACAATGGTTTTAATCTGTATGTTAAAGGAAAAGCTTCCCCTCATACCATATAATCATCTCTTTGTTTCTTTTCACGAAACCATGTGTCGATCTTTTAAGCGTCATAGGATAGCCATTTTTGCTCATTACATGTGGAGTCAAAAGCAAGCAAAAGCTTAAATCAAAGAACATTCTTATAGCATGGAGGGCTTCGCTAATTTGTTCAAAACTATTTACCACAAGGAAAGGCGTATTCATAACAAACTCCAATCATGCTTTTGACCACTTATGTATCCATACCAAGGGGAGAGTTCGAATTCAAGACATCGAAACAAACCTACGGTTGGAAAGAAAGATAACGACACCTAAAGACAGACTCTACAAAAATTAAAATGCACACTCTTCAATATGTGATGAACTCAGATACATAGAAGCAACGGAAAGAATGGGGGAAGGGAGAGGGGAGAGAATATCAGCTCGATTTTGGACGCGTTGAGATGAAATAGTGCAACACGGAGACATATAATCAAACTTAGAAGATGAGCTTGGAGAAGATAACCCATGGAGGGACATAAACATATGGATTAAATTGAGAAATCTAGAACTCAAAAGGTTAGGAAGTTCATAGCTTAGTTTTTGCTAAAATCCTATATGGTCGGGAGCGCTTTAGCATCAAGAAAGTGAACGGTCAGCACAGAAGTTCAAGACTTAGCTGAGCGTTAGTGAGGCAAAAATTCTTAGTTGATGAGTTATGACCCAAAAATGCCAAAATAAAAAAAAAATGTCTGTGTGTATTCGTAGTACAACAGAATCTCAATCTATGGTTGCAAGGTCCTACAACCCATTCGAGTCAAAGAAAGATTACCATCCTAAGCCAAGGAGTCCATAGCCACCTCCCAAATGCTGCCTCGCTCAAAGGTCGAAACCTTTTCGATTGCTTTTTCCCAATCAGATTCTCTCAGATAGCCACAAAATGAGTATTTTCTACATAATATGGCTTGCATTGAGCTTGAATTCAACCTTAATGGGTTATTTAATTCAAAGTCTCAACCAAACTTATTGAATGTGAAAACAATACCTCATCGTGTGGATGTCATTGAAGAAACTATCCCATGTTCACTGACTCCAATTGCTCGCATCCATGAAGTAAAAATATTAAAAATCAGAAAGACTTCGGGGGGTAAAAAGGGAAAAGGCAAACGTAATAAACAATGAGAAACCAGATGGCGTTTTCTCCTCCACCTAACAAAAATGGTTCCAAGAAACTGTCTACCTTCCCACATTTTCCTCAGTTCTGCCATTCTACTCTTTCGACTCGCTTCTCGACTCTTTACCTTTTTTCGGCGACAACTCAAATGGGGCAGGGGGGGACGTCAAGAGTAGTTCCGGCTTGAATTTGACCCCAGCCAATAAGACGCCAATGCTTCTCGACTCGGCGACTTAGAGCAATCTTCTCCCCTTTGCTGGTGCAAACAGGAGAAGTAAGCTGCAACTTTGCCAAATCATTCTTTACTGCAAGTACTCTAGCTCCTGTAGACATGGATCCTATGTTCAACATTAGAATCTCTCCCTTGGCCAGTTTTGATACTTTTCCCTGCCTTTCTGATCCTTTCGTCCTCACACCTAGAAGCCGCCGCAAAAGGAAGAAGTTTACCTGCAAACAAGAAGAGGAAAAATCTCATCATGGACAATTTTTATCGACAGTAGCCTTTCCCCTCTTCACCATTTCCAGGAGAAGATCATTCACAAATGCGAAAGTGCTCATGAAGGACTAAAAATATTTGTTTAAATTTGGTAGTATTTGGTTATAATTTTAAAGAGGGAACAAACATTTATAACCAATTAAAACCATAGTTTGAAAATTTCTTAAAAATAGATCTAAAAAACCACTTTAGGTGCTTTAGATGTAGCATTTAATTAGGTTTTCCAAAAGTGCTTTAAAAAAATGCTTCACTTGAGCATTTGTTTTTTCAGAAGACATCCCAAACTCGCCCTAACTGGCCTACTACTGTTAGCAGATAATCTCAGATTGCAACCTGAAGGTGTTGAGCCATTATGTATTAGAACATTCAAATGCTAAGAGCTTTACCTCTAGCTCAACAAAAACATCAGGAAGTGACCCAACTTCACCAAGAACCTGACCAACCAATCTGTCAGCACGGGTCAAAGTGGGATCCATGGTTGTGCCAACCCCAATTAGACCTCCAGGGACTGCAAATTGCAGCTCATTTTGCTCCGCATACAAAGAAACAATCCTGGAATATATCGGGGTGCACTTGATGTTACCACTTTCATCTTTAACAACAATCCCTGGACGAACTTCAATAAATTGATTCACCTTTAAAACACCCTGGAAAAAACAAAATTTCAAATTTGTTAGCCATGCATAATGAACCAACAAAACTGTGGACAATCTCCAAAGGTAAAATGGATTTAAAAAATGTAAAATGGTGACATGGACTCCTTAAAAGAATTATCCCAAACAGGTTCAACTGCAAAATTCAGGGTTGTCATAACCATCCCAACCAACAAACCAGATCTTTTTATTGTTTCCATGTTTGCTAAAACTAATATCATAATAACTCAAGCCGAACCAAACACTTGTCAAAGTTCAAAACTTCACCTAATTCGACCTATTGAATACCTATATGCAAAGTCAAAGACCTCTCTTTTGAGGACAAATCGCATTTGTAAATCCTGGCCAAATTCCAATGAGATTCTTTCTAATACACAAGCATAAGAATACTATTACAGCCTATCAACCATCTGGAAGTGGCTTTACGTACTTCATAGTATCAGAAATTCAACATGAACTGATAATTTTTCTTTTTAAGAAAAAGTATTAAGCATACCCGTAATATGCTACCACCAGCCACGCCACCTTTGATCTCATCAACTTCAAATCCAGGTTTGTTAACATCAAAAGAACGAATGACAATCATATTAGGAGGTGAGACAAAATTCCTTTCAGGGATTGGAATCTTTTTCACTATATACTCGCAAACAACATCAATATTATATTTCAGCTGAGCAGAAATTGGTACTACTGGCGCACCATCAGCAACAGTTCCCTGCCAAAGATATTACAATGGACAAGTTGAATACAGTAAATATCATTTATATGAAAATTTCAATACCTTGACACAATAAAGTAAAGAAAAACTAACCTGAATAAACTTTTGAATCGCTTCATGTTGATTGATTGCTACATTTTCCTGAATAAGATCAACTTTATTCTGGAGGATTATAATATGTTGAAGGCGCATAATTTCAACAGCAGCAAGGTGCTCAGAAGTTTGAGGTTGAGGGCAGCTTTCATTGGCTGCAATCAGAAGCAACGCTCCATCCATAATGGCTGCTCCATTGAGCATGGTAGCCATAAGAATGTCATGACCCTGAAAAAATATGAACTCAATTACAGTAGCAGTGCAAAAATAACCTCCATATATGCATGCTAACTAATACACCATACAACAAAATCAAAGTGTAAAAATCTGTGAAGCTTGTAAGAAGATATAGTTATCTCATTGCCATTCATAAAATTTGTGAGGATTAGTACGTCATTTTTTGTCTTATCTACTCAGATGCAACAACTCAAAGCCTTACCGGGCAGTCTACAAAAGAAACGTGTCGCAACAGTTTCATCCTACAATTTTCAAACCCAGGTACGTCACATAAGGGACTGTCTTCCTTTCCACTTCCATAAGCCCTACAAAATCATGCTGAGTACGTTAATTAAATATTAGAAGTCATACCTTTCAAGTAAGTACATGTTGCATAAGTGCGCACTACATAAAAATAGAAGAAACACCCACTTGTAGCACATAGGTCGAGGGCACTTGTCATCTTCACATTTGTATATCTTTGCATTAGCATATCCCAGCTTAATGGTAATGTTACGCTCCAGCTCATTCTTAAAACGTACAGTCTGCAGATTGTTTACATTCCACGAATACATCATCAAAATGAAAATTTATAATGATTTCTTTGGGAAAGTGTACTCATATGAACTATAATTTCAGCTGGAACATCACTTAAAATCTATGTTTCCTTGCTGTAAGCTAAAACCATGGTAGAATAAAGCATCTATCCAAATACTATATGTTAATTAAAGCCATTGTGAATAAATAAAACAACTGTTATAGAATACCAACCAAGAGTAACAGGTACAAAATAAATAATCACCTGGACTCCTGAAATTGCTTTTACAACTGTAGACTTTCCATGTGCCACATGACCAATAGTACCTGGGAAAGATGAATTTAGCGATAGATAATTAGCTTCAATAGTAAGATAAGATCCCTAAGACTGTAATGTTCAAGTGTACAGTGAAAGAATCATAAACAAAAGCAAAGTTACCAATATTAATGGTAGCTTGACGAGATATAACTTCTGGAGAAAGCGGATGGAGCTTTGTCACGTCCAATTTCTTTAAATCTTGTTCCATCAAACCTTTCCGCGACATCTTGGCTGATTGTTCTCGTGCAAACAAGTTATGGATGTCTTAGTTGGCTCCTTGTGAAGTCAAGAACAGAGAGCAACTAGTCTGCCACCAATCCAAACAAGAAACGAAAGTATTAGAAGCAGTAGCCCCACACATAAAGCACACTCATCAAACACCAAGAAAGGACCCTCCCACGAGCACACACTAAGCTCATAAGCAATTACAAAACACAATCAAGCACCACGCTCGCATCACTAACTCATAAACTCCTTCATAACAAAGCATCAAAGGAACATTCCACTCGAAAACAAAGATAAAAATCTACAGGTACAAAGTACAACCACACCGCGACATACCAATACGCAATCACAAAAAAGGCTCGCTACTTACATCATCGTCTGATATAGAAACTAACATTAAGCTAAAACCCTACATGAAAAAAAGGCCCCAAAGATCGAAAATGATTCTGAATCGATAATTGTAAATAAAATCTCAGACAAGTACGAAGCATTAAGAAATGATGCTGAATCAGAATCCAGATAGCATCAAACAACTCGTACGAAAGAAGAAATCAAAAGGATCTAAGGAAGAATACCGAAAATGAGCGTTCGTAGGTGGGAAGAAGTTGCGGCGAACAGAGAATGGAAGAAAGAAAATTGAGAGAAGTGAGTGATTCTGGGGATTGACGCGAAGAGAGCGCGAGCGACGGTCCGACGGAGCGCTTGGAACAAAATGTGAAGGTCCTCTCACAGACTACGCGAGAAGAATTCGCTGTTAGGTTAGGGATATTATTTTGTTTTTTCTTTTTATTTAATATTCGCATTCGAAATTCCGGTTCGTTTCTGATGTATATCCGAATCCGATCCACAAATCGAACCGATGCGGTTCGATTTTATTCGTCTGGCTCATCGGTGGGTCATATTTACAAAATTTGCTGTCATTATAATTCTAGGGGAAAAAATTAAATTTTACAGAAGATAGATTAAACTAGGTTCAAATTTAATTTTAAATTTTAGGCAAATAACGAGTATTACTATTTTTACCATTAAATTTTTTTTTTAATTCACTCACTTATTTTAATAGAAGAAAAAAGGGTAAAAATCACCTCAACCTCTTTATTTTAATAAAAATCAAACTTCGAAAAAAAATATGTTTAATACATAAAATTAAACATTCAATAATTTTTTCAGAACTCATAAATCCAACACCAAAAAAAAAACCAACTTAATGTTATTTTTCTTTGAAATTTTAGTCACTCCAACGTGTATGTATAATTTTGTTTAAAAATAGGCATAATAAGAAATTCTAAAAACAACCAACTTAATCATAGCTAAGCCTGCCTTATTTTATAAATTGATTGTTTTTAAAGAAAATTTAAAATTTACCCGTAAGTTTAGTAATGTTATCAATTTTTTATCCTAAATTTTTACTTTAAATTTGAATGAGTCTTGCAATATTATCTTAAAGTTGAAAAAAGTACTTTCACTTCAAAACTTGTTTTTCTTGTCCTCATATCTTGTATTTAGTTATAATTTATTAAAAGAAATGTGGACTATTCATGTATGTTATAGTATTTAATTGATACATGTTTTAGATACTATAATTTTTTTACTATGTCGATGCCCGTAGAATAGTAGTTGAATGAAACTAGCATGACTTGATTTAATGCATTGCAACTAGCATGACTTGATTTAATGCATTGTGTTACATGTATGATGTATTGGTTATCTAACGATCTATTCATATTTAATTTTTCACCCAGCTAAAATCAACATTTTGAAAGTTCAATGACCAAAATAAAACAAATTTAAAAGTTCAAAGACCAAAATGAGATTTAAATACTTACATCAAACCTAGCTCAAATTGTCAATGTGAACCTAGTGCAGTGGTAATTAGTATATATCTCTGACCAATAAATCGTGAGTTTAAATCCTGTCGCTCTATTTGTTGTATTAAAAAAAAACATAGCTCAAACCCACGTATTTGTGACTTAGTATTATCCATCAAGGAAAGTTTGAGATGTATAGTTAAAGCATACTATGATTTTAGTATTAAAACTAATTGTAGACTTTTTTGTTGTAGTTAATAAAAAAAAATATTAGGGACTATTTAAAATTATTTCTAAAATTCAGAGATAACTATTAAAATTTGAAAACTCAAAAGAGTTCAACAAATACAAAGTAAAAATTGCAATATAACCTGCCTTGAGACACTATAATTTGTCTCGAGTTTGTATTGACCTCAACCAACAAATAAAACCACAATAAAATTTGATATAGTTACGACAACTTATTCTAAAGATTTGAAATCTCCACCGCACCTCTCGTTGAACTAAAAACAATATTTGATATGTTGTACTCAAAACAATATTAAATATATTTTTTTTCTAATAGATAATTTGATATAATTACAATACCTGTTGTGTAAAGTATGTGTTAAGTTACCAAGTCCATTTCCTCTCCATTATCATGTTTGGCCAATTAAAGGAATTATTTTAAGAAAGATTAAAATCAATTTAAATTGATTTTTAAGGCATCAATTATATTTAAATCTATTTTTTTCAAAATCATTTATTTACAAAATTTTGCTACCAACAAGAAATTATGGCTCTGTGGAATCTACATTAATAATAAATTTACATATAATAACTATAATTAAAACAGTAATTTACAATTTAGAACAAAAATTTGAAATTCCAAGAACATTAATATGACAAATATACAACTTTCATAGCACAAATCATGTAAACAGGAAGAAGATTGAATTGAACTTGTTTGCATGGTCTGAAGCTGAAGTTTTTGCAGCAAACAAGGATCAGACTTCCTTCTTCCTCTCCTTTAAATATATCAAACTTTTTGATTATGTGTTTGTATCAATCAAACAAATTATATCACTGCTTGTTGATGCAGTGCAGTAGAGAAGTCCACAAAATTACTCATATCTTCTTGCTACAGGGGGATCCAGCCCTGCCATTTCAGCCATTACAGAGTAAGGATGGAAACCAGAAGATTGCATCTTGGATAGAAATAAGTGAAGTTGTGAGAAGCGGTGAAAAGTGGAGAAAGTGAGGAAGAAAACCGTGATCAAAATAGAAATAAATTCTGTGATGAAATGGACTAAACAGAAACAAGGGGATCATCTATTGAAGAAGGTACTTCTCCTTTTGAGATCCGGAGAAAATCGATAAAACAAAAGAGATCCAAGTGAATGGAAAGAAAACAACTATCAAAATGTAGAAAGACCTATTTATGAAACTTCGTACGCTCTATTTTCAAAGTTTGAAACTGATAAGAAAGAAGCATATCAAAGGTGAATTACCTTAGTTTTGCCAGTCTCTGTGCCACAGAGAACCATGTCATTGGCTGTAAGCAAACATGTAATCCTACTACCAGCTGAAATTCTCCCCACTTTGTGCTGTGTCTTTCTCAACCATATCTACTTATTCAAGAATGAATTGGTGATAACCATGATCCTAACATAGAAATTACACATTATTCTTTAAGAAAATGCACTGTCCAAGTACCTGAATGCTGTTTGCTGAAGATTTAGAGATTAGGTATACGAAGTCTTCGACAGCACTCATTGCATGTACGATATCTCCTTTACCAGTTACAATTGTCATTTCGGGCTTGTCATGTCTTCTCCAGTTCTGCATTATTCCTACAGTTAGTGGAAGCTTATCGAAAAATTATTCGGGCTATGTTAATGGTTATACCTGAAATAACGAGCCTTGAACCATTGAACTAGCACTAAAAAGCCAGTCCTTATACACAGCAAGTGAGTTGATAGCTTTGTGGTGCATCATCATCCAACTTTTAGAAGGTGGTTTGATCTCTTGTTCCCATTTGTTTGTCACAGAGAACTCCTAATATCAACAGTTTTTGTTTAGTGGTCTGTTATTATTTGTGGAGTTGTTGGGGAAAAAAAAAGGAACTAACTTGTATGCTGGAATCTGTGCAGCCTGCATAAACCCTTGCTTGAACCACCTTGATGCACTTCAAATTCTTACTCTTGAAAAGAACTTTTGTTGTTCTTGTTGCATCGATCACCTAGAGCAGAATAATATGTACAATTAAAAAGAAAAGTTCCGACACCAGCATAAGTTTCTCCAGTTTTTAATGTAACTATACTGCAATTCAAGTGTTAATGTTATCATCACCTTCAACCCATGGCCATGAGTAATCGCAAAGATTATCTGTCCATATGCTCCTAAATGTTGGATTTGTTCCTTGGACTCTATCACTTCGGTACATTCCAATTTTCCCTGTATCATTTTCCAAACCTGTAGAAACAAGAAACGGATCATTTCAACCTTCTACTGCCATCCACATTAAGGTAAAAGTTATCATGGCAGCATTGGTTGCATACTCTAATGGTTTTATCTGTGGATCCGCTTAGAAGACTCTCCCCAGATTCAAAGTGTGAAAAACATGTCACTGCTTTTCTGTGTTTCTTTATGTCCCATAGAAGTGATGCCGATTGTCCCTTGATGTTCCACACCTATCGATATGCACACATGTCATGTTTCAACTTTATGCCAGAAAAGTATTTCTTTTCCCATTGCAGATGTCTGTCGACAGCAGTTTATAGCTGAAGGAAGTTCACATTACAACATTTAGCTTTGAACTTAGCCACTGCAGCTTCTTTCAACAAAGAAGACTAAATCTTTATTGAAATTAAAACTAGTTTTTAACATCTCAAACGTGTTTATTGATATTAACTCTCACCTTTATTGAACCATCTGAGTATCCGCCGAAAAGAAGTCCTTTGTAGAAGATGAGGGCACATACAGCTCCACTGCTGTTGAAACCCAGCTCTAGAACTTGGGTGTGCACGCACGAAATCCGCTGTTCTTACAATTTGAAAGATGTTAGAAGGACAACAAATGAGAATCTGTCAATATTGGTTTATATATACAAAAATACATGTTTCCAGTTATTTATTGAATAGTTTTTCCAAGATGAAGATGATTTACTTACTGAATTATTGGGCATAAGATAATCTGCTACTCGATGCAACTCTTCTGCCATCCAAGTAATATGTGAAAGCCGTCTTAGTGACTCACGAACCCCTTCCGAGAAATTAGCGAGCTTTTGCATCCCTTCACAAAACGTTCATCAAGATTCAGTTCAACTCGCGCAATGATCCGTAAAATCAATTGGGTGACTTTTCATTGAGCATGTTTAAAAACTGTGTAATACTGCAAGTACTGTGCCGTATATGTGATGTAACCATCAGACGTACAGACTAGGAAGTGGAATACCTTTCCCAGAGGCATAGTTGAAGATGCAGAGGCATGCCAGAAGTCTTTCTTCAAGTTCAATTCCTGGATGCAAGAATAGCTCAATTCCACCAAGTAAGATCTCACAAGCAGAAAATCTAGTGCTACTTGGGCTCTTTGCAATCTCACATCCAAGCCATGCAATTGTCGTCAAACAGTCCCTAGAAACCTTCTTTATCTTGCTCTTTAATCCCCTGTCTAGAGCATGAAAGACAGGCTCCCCTATACAGATGATGTTTCTGGCTATCAGACTGCACCATGAGTCCACGCCAGCATCCTACAAGTTAATTTTTTAATGTTATAAGGTCAAACAGTATAATGCTACCATTTAGACTATCCTTGAGATTCACCTGCAAGCTTTGGTCAAACCAATTAAATGATTTGATCATGTTCTGATGATCAGAACTCAAACCAACTTTTCTAAGCAACCATGCAACTGTGTACGGCTCTCCTGTCCAAGAAAACGTTCCACCAAGATTTGACAAAATGGATGCAGACAAGGACTGCATAGCAGATTTCTCTTCGCATGCCACTGACCTGAGAAGGACCTGTACAGCCTCTTCTTTTAACAAGCTTGTAGTGGAGCAATTTTCCTGTAGATATTCATTCTAGGGTTGTCAATTAAACTATGTTGGACAAACCATGCAATCAGATCTATCCTGTCAACACTGCACAATTGTGTTTTGGCAATGATGCTTCTTCACGTATTCATCTTATAGGATCCCAATTATAAGAAAACAACACTAAAATTATATTGCAATATATAGAGAAATTACAATAGTAATAGCCTCTCGAGAGGACTATCTCTCTTCCAATAGATAACTAATCCCCAAATTCTAACTATCCCCCAAAACCCATAACTCCCTCTATTTATAACCATCTACTCTGACCAAGTTCCCAAATAAATACTTACAGTTATTCTACTACCAATATACTAATAACATTCCCAATATTTCCCCACCTAACTGTGTTTTTGCAATGATGTTTCTTCATATATTCATCATATCCTATTTTAAGAAAAACAATCTGGAAAGAAATCATTTTAAAAGACCTAGGAAAAGTGGAACTTCAGTAGACGACGATCAATAACATTCATGAGCCTATGAATAAGATATTCAAACTTACACGTGTACAACTTCCAAATTGAATACTTACCAGTACAAGTAATTGTATCAAAACATTTGCTGCCAAGAGTTGATATTCAGTTTGCAAGTGATTGACACAAAGCATTAGTATGTGAATAATGTCATTTTTCCCTTCATTGTTTATCCGTTGTAATAAGCTAATGGCAGATGACCTAAACAAAATAAATGAGAATTGTGTTAAAGGAACTGCTTTCAGTAAACAATTCAAATTCAATAGTATGTTTCTTAAAAAATAAAAGGAACTCATACCAGTCTTTTTACTGGTCACTATGAGATTTACCCTTGTCCACTTCATATGAAGGGGTTTCCTTGAAAGTGCTTAATTTAATAGGTCCAATGACCCATATCATGGAACAACCAATAACAAAATTGCAGTCTAAAAGATTTGAATCACACAAAGGATTCTTTCCTTGCTTAAATAAAAACAGATGTATATTTTCTTAATTTAGGTAGTTCTAAAAGAGTATCGGATGTGATGGGATGTGAAAGAATGCAATTGCTGCATTTGTTAATACCTAGGAACACGAAGGATTTCATTGAATACTTGAAGTGCAATATGCACTGCTTCCTTCTTATCACTTTGTAAGAGACAGAGAAATTGAGCCACTGGGATGAATTTTGATATATAGCCTCTGCACTCTCCATCAAGTTGCATGCATTTTACAAGAATACTGCCTAGAGAGACCAAACCTTCAACATTGTTGGTTCTTGCAACTTCTAGAAGCCCACAAAGTACACTTGGCGAGCTGATTTCCACCAAATGCATTTTATTTGTGTCATCATCAAATGCAGTTACCATTACTTCAATGATCATCATCGATGCTGCAGGAGGAGTCAGCATAAGTGATGGTGACCAAGCATTATAACATTTTGAGGTGCATATGATCTCCACCAACACAGGTAGAAGCTGTAAGGACTTGATTTCCCTTGGAGATGGACTGATGAGGTAGATAAGAATTGCAGCCTCATGAACATTCTGTCTTAGTGCAGTAGCCAAATCACATAACTTTAAACCCTTCTTCTTGAGATCTTCTATGACTGAATTGTTTTCAGAAATTATAGTTGTAAGCAGAGAAACTGATGCCCTTATAACCTTTTCTTCTTTAGAAGTTGAAATGCTTGTCAACAATTGGTCCATTATTAAATCCTTTAACATGGTATACTGTACTCCCGTTTTACTATTCAACATTTTGTAAATTGTCGAAACTTCCACCGCATACTCTTCATCATAGTTTCCTAATCCTTCTGAGAAACATAATCTTGAAATTGCTTTCTCAATAAGTCCCAATATTTCACTCTTTGAATCTCTTCCGCTAATTGAGTGATATAATTGCGCTTTAGCAATATTCTGGTTACTAACTTGACTGGCTGAACCTTGACCAAGAAATGAAGGTATCGCACTACCAAATGTCTGGAATTTGCTTAGCTTTAGCGACAATTCCATCGGTTCGCTTTCTTCAAGGCAATTTTGGAGGATCTGTGGTTCTAAGTTTTTTTGTTCTATGCTACGTAACTTGAAATCACTGGATTTCTTTGAGAAGGATTTCGTCATGCTTACTTTAATGTATTGTTCCTGCACAGTACTTAAAGAAGCACTAGACAAAGATATCAAGCTCTGCTCTGGATCCGACTTAGTGCAAGCATACCGCAACTTCCTGTATCCAGTGCAAAACGATTTAGAAATATGATTGAAATTTCATATACAAGGACCTTAAGTACAATAAGCATAAGCATTTTCTACTGAACTGAGAAAATTTTTCTGGCAGGTCTGCTCTTGTGCTTCGCTTAGAGTGATTAGTATAGTTCATACCTTCCTGGTAAATAGGAAAATTAGTGATCATAGAAGACACTTTATTAAAAAAAAAAAATCAAAAGTAAAAAATCAAAATGCACTATGGGGTGGAACTGGGGGTCGGGAGTTTGGACAAACCTCAATGTCACTATCACTTTCAGAACCATTCATTGATGAGAATAATGAAGTAGGTGAACCGGGTTGGGAATCCTTCAATAGGTCTCGGATGTATTTGGTACTAGAATCTCTCCACGATCCCCTATCATTAAATTGAAGTTCTGGGATGAGACCCAATTTCTTTTGGGAATTCCCTTTATCTTCACACCAGGGAAAATCTTGTGATGCCTTTGTTTTATCTTGAATCACATCAGTACGATCAAGTGGATGTATATTGTCATACTGGATTCAGTTTTATACCATAAAAGGAAAAAAAAAGTGTTAATATCTGACTCTGAGAAACAGCAAGGTTTGGGGTAACAAAGGCGTTCTTGAAACTATACTTACAATAGGGGGCTAGAATCATAAAAGGTAAAAACTGATAGAATGAAACTAGATGGACAAGTATTTCAGAGCAACCTCCAGAACTTACATGGAAAAGAGTTGGCAGAGGAAAGCCACAATCAGTTGCCTTTGAAGCTTCACTCCTGGAAAGTGATCCATACCAATTTAATGCCAAGAACGTATATTAGACCGAAAGGCTTTACGATTTGTACAGTTGGTAATACAACTTTTAATAGTAATGATGCAAGCAATTTTAGACAACAATATGAAGCGACCTTCAAAGCAGCCTAAATGAGAAAATATTGCATCAGGAAGTTCTTATCATTTAAATGAACAAGCGAGATAGACTACTTTTTTCAAAAAGAAAAACTGTGAAATTACATTTTCTTAACCCTTGAAATTTTCTTGCAGCCACTCCTAAAATGGAACTGAGACCTCTCCTGTACCAATCTTTGGTATGGTAAATTTTCTCTCTTGTATATTAATTTTCCCATTAAGGATTTTCTACATAAACCCAATACCATGTGTGTTCTTGTTCTTACTCTAGTCTTCTTATCTCATTATTTTTCTACTTCAGGAGATGACACATTTATCGTTATATTCAATCGGGCACATGTAAATTATAGTTTATACTGATCATATAGAAAATCCCCATGGTATACCAGTGCCCAAAAACTTAAAATCAATAACACTTTCTGACTATGAGCATTCTGTATGTGATGCACCCTGTAATCATTTCATAAAACGATTCTGTAGTTGGTATTGAATGAGCAGGTAAGATGTGGCATAAAAGATGCTACTACTTTTGGGGCCAGATATTTATTGAGTCAGGATAGATTAATTCATCAGAAATTTACCCGATACTTACATGGAGTGTGATCCATTTTCAGGAGGCAACATTGAATTGCTTCCATCTTGCTTCCACTGCTGAGTCTCTCCGTACAACATGACCTGATAATACATCAGCCAGTCTTTGTATTTTCTAGCTACCTGCCTTATAGTTGATTCACCATAATCACCCTCTCCAAATTCTACAGAAGAATCGGACCTCATGGTTTCACCATTTTCTTGCCTCGAACTTGTTGCAAAAGAAAGAAGAAGACTGTAGCAAAATCCTTGAGCGAATTCCGTGAGAACCAATCTTGGAGAGACCAGCAGGGACTGAAGGAAATGTAGAGCAACCTGCCACTCATCCCCTTGAAGCTTCTTGACCACTGAGAGGTAGAAGTAAGAGCAGCAAACTAAATAACGATTTTCCGTTCCTGATGTCTCGCCATGCTCGTCAAGCAAAGCCGGAACCTGAAGCATTTGTTCAGCAGTCTGAAGCCTAGTGGCTCTCTCTTCTGAAATGCTAGTTTGAACTGCATCTTCAACGTTCTCAATACCCCAGTAAAGGTTTGAGATTATAGACTGTTCCAAGAATTCAAAAAAGCCATGTCTCTGGTTTCTTAGCTTGGAGGTGCATCTCAGTGTGAGAGCAATTCTAGCTTCAGCATTGCTCAAGAATTCGTGAATATACTGATTGATGGAAACAACAAGAGCCCTTATGGAGTTCAGGTCCAGCCGCTCATTTTCACAAACAGATGGTGGGAATTGAGTGCGAGAAGAAGCAGGAGCCATGCAGATTTTGGAAATAGCGGTCTCATGAAGAGCAAAATGCAGCGGAACGAGGAACAGAAGAGATGGAAATTTATCTCTGTCGCAGAGAATTGGAGGTTCGGAACGATTTCCCGTGACAACTCCAGCCAAAATCCAAAAGTTCTGAGTTGGGCCCTCCAAAACTTCCTTCCCACTACAGACAAACTATTGACCTTTGCTTCCATCATGGGTAGGGAATAAGAAAAACAGGCAACATTTCCTGGCTCTCTCTTGGATTCATTGGATGAGAAAATTTTACCATTTGGCACCATACGCAAAAATCAATGGAAAACGTGAGATTATGAATCATAAACACTGTTCCAATACATTTATCAGAAGTGCAGAACAGAACACGAACCATTCGGCCTGCCCAGTTTCCAAAAGAATCCAACAAGCTTCTTGAGATTTGGGGTTTGTCTGGAATCAGCCATGGCACTGTTAATTTTAGATTCTGAAACAGTCCATGATTAAAGGTGACAGTAAGAAGGATTGGAAAATGGCAAGGAGTGGAGTTGGGTTTTTTGTTTTGAGGAAAAAGGACAAAGGGACTGAGCTCTAATGGCTCTAATGGCCAATCTCTGTGCCATTTTTTTTTTTGTTTGTTTGGATGTGGTAATGGAAAATGGCATCTCCCCTTATTTGGCTGTCATGAAAGGGAAATACATGAAAGCAGCCACACTACTCTATGCTGTTGCAATGACTTATCTCCATGTCTTTTAAATTCTTATAAACCCAATGTTAGATATTATTTTGATTATTACAATTATAACACGCTTTTCTTGTTTATTTACTTCGAGTTGTTCATATCAGTTAGTGTTTAAGGTTACACGTAGAAAGTGAGATCGGATCAAAACGTTTCTTTTTATATAAGCTGCAACGCAACATTTGAAAGTTAGAAACTAAAATATAATAGATAAAATTTAAGAAATCTCATGATGGTCTCCTACTTTAAGAATTAGGAATTCATATGTGTTTCCCGACGTTAAATTTTGTAAGTTCATAGTATTGTCCTGTGAGATTAGAGGTGTGTGCAAGCTGGCTCTGACACTCAAGAATATTTTGAAAAAGATAAAAATTTAGGTACCACAATACGAAATTTCAATAACGAATTTAAACTATGAGAATTCGAACCTCTAACTTTGATTACAGCTATGTTCATGTCGTCATTTCTTATATATGTATTTTTAACACATTTGAATCGTTAATGAAATTTGGGGGAAAAAACGATTTTTTTTTTATTTTATTTTGTAATTTTCAAGAACTTTGCTTAGGTTTTGAAAACTATATATGTAAATTTTAAATATCAAAATGTAGAAAGGCTAGGAGTGGGAAATAAGGTTGGATTAGGGGTATTTTAATTTGCAATGTAATGAATGATGATGGTGGCTGAGATTGAATTTGAACGGTGGAGATTTGATCAGAGTTGGGCCCCGCAGCATGTCACGGGTCCAAAATTATATGCAGTTTTTTTGGTCCAATCTTCCAAACTCACATGCAAAAGCCCAATTTGTCCCGTTTTCATATGGGGAAGTGACACTTTTCCCCCACTTCACTTCACTTCACTTCCCTTCCTTTACACTCAATCAAAACCCTCCCTAACTTCTCCGGGGTCAAAATAGTTACTGTCAGAGTTGATTTCTCGATTCACATGCGGCATATAACGAGTGGACCATGGAAGCTACACATAGCTTGCGATGCTACGGTTTAAGTTTCATCGCCTCGTTCTTTATCTTCTAGGACCAAGTTGATCTCCATGGTGGTCGAGCCGATCAGGCTTATTTGAAATCCTATTTCCATTTATTGGTTGGACTAATTGGCCTTACCTTCGCTCAACTCCAATCTTCAACAGACTCCACGATATCACGCTGCATTTCACGACAATTTTAAAGAGCCGTTGAGGTCTTGTTAAGAATGCGGCCAGAGATTTCGCCTATAAATAGAACCCACTTGCTCCGTTTTGAGGTACACAAATACTAAAATCTCTCATGAGTTTAGTTCGGCCGATGCTGAAAATTCTATTTTGTAGGTCACCAACCTCGTATATTTCCAATTCGTCCTTCGAGTCGCTCTCAATATCGAGTCAAGGTTCGTAGTATTGATCAATTTCATGATTAAACAGTTATAATTACACCTTTAAACTTACTTCAGTAACATAATTATGGCATATAATTATTTCTATATCTTTCATGATCTATTTTTCTAACAGGTGATACTAATTGGTGAATGATATTTTTTAAAGCTAAATATAATAGGTGATCAATTTTGTTTTTCAATTTTATCCTCAGTTTATTAAGAATTATGGATTATATCCATTGTTAAAGAAATTTGTTAACACACATATCTTATGTATGATTAAGTTGTTGTTTTTATTAATATATGACACTTGAACATACCACTAAAAAAATTGTTAATCAAATGATCAAAATTTTACTGATAAATGGGTTTTATGAGTCATGCAGCATTGGAGTGGCATTTTTTTTATATAACAATAATGAATGATCATATATCAATTTTTTGTAGACAAGTAATTTAAGGAAAGACAGTTGATAATTTTTAATATATTAAGGGTAAAGTTCAAAAGTTTAAAAGATGAATTGACTCAAATATTAGAGAATATTTTTGTATATTTTGTTTCTTTTTTACCATGTCACATTATAAATGATGTTTTTTAACTTTTGAGATTATGTCTAACTCAAAAAGTTACTTATTGGTTCTTAAATTTTTTATGGTTGTATTATTTACTCTAGGTACTTACTTCATTTAAGAGTCCCGTTGAAAATTAATCTAACATATGATTCTGTATCATTAATATGTCATAGATTTAGTAGACATAAAATTAAAAGTTCTAGGAATTATAAACTTTTAGAACATAAAGATTAAATATATAATGAGAAATTTGACACGATAACATAAATTTTAATATCTATTCTTACAAATGTTGCAAGAATATCGGATTTTGGTCAATTTTTGTCGGTGAACTCGCCTGTACTTTTAAAAAGTAAAGTTTTTGTCTATTTATTTTATTTTTATATCACAATTTCAGCGTAACATTACAATTTCATTGTAGGTAAAATTTGTATTAAAATTTTGCACATAAGGATCAAAATATACATATTTTAAAAAAATAATATTAAAATAGTCACCTCTTAAAAGTAAAAAAACCAAATCAAACATTTTGAAAGTAGAATGACAAATAAATATGAAATTATAATAAATATTTTAAAATTATATGGACCAAAATATCGAGATTTATGCTAGACCAGAATAACAACGATGACCAAACTAGTTATTTGCTTAAAATAATTTAAACTAAAAACAAAATATAAAAGTTTGAGGGACGAAAGGGAAAAAATGGAAAGAAATTGATTGAGTTTGTATTTTATGGAGATGGGTATGCGTTTGCGTAGTAGATGGATAATGGGCCAAATTAGGAAATGGGGGAAGAAGGCCTGGCCCAGCGTTGAATGCGACTGGGCCCATATGTACACTGAACGGTTGCTGTCTCCAGATTTGGGCCAACGCCACCCTCACATGCCTTCCGATTTTATTACGTAAGCAACAGTACCTAACAAATCGTACCCTAAACAATTTTATTAAATATTCATATTTCTTTTTTTATTTTATTGATTTTTTTTAGAAGAAAAAGGAAAAAAAAAAAAAGGAGCACGTTGACGGAAGAGACAAAAAAAAGGAAGATCCCCATGTGCGGGGGTTGAAGGATCCAACGGCTGATGTGACAAGATCGGGGTGGGAGGTGCACGGATGAGATCCTCTGCCTCTGCCACGTCGTTTCACGATATTATGGATTTTGGTGGAGAATTTATAATTATAGTAGTAATACAACTTCTACTCATTTAAATTGACGTGATGTCTACGAAAATAAATAATTATTTAAATTTAAATACTATTTCAATCTCTTCATTTCTAATTTTAGTTAATTTTTTATTCACTTGCTTAAAAAAATGTAATTTTTTACCTTCTAAATTTTGTTCATTTTAGTTATTATATTTATTTTGTGTCTGTATTTTAAAAATGGACTAATTGAATTTCTATTAACAAAATTTTAATACAAATTTTATATCCAATGGAAACTATTTGATATAAATTTATAAATACATTTAAAAAAATGTAGTATTAAAATTGTGATGAGAAGAAATAAGATAAAGATAAAATAAACAGATTAAAATGTTCCTTTTAAAAATATAAATACTAAACTATATGTTCTTAAACAAGAATTAGAAGAAATTAATTTAAAATGAATTATTTAAATTAATTATTTATAAAGTAAAAGGATAGTGTGAATAAATGGAATAGACAGGAACCAATCACATGACCCCACGTGCCCATGAGGTTGGTCAAAATGGACGCTATTGGTACTACGCTCACTCATCGGGTCAAATAGTTGTTATGTTTAGGGCATTTATTTTAGTTGGGTTAGGATGTTTTTGTGTTTTTTTCTAGTTGGATCTGAGATGTTTTTTTAATAATAAAAATAATTTAAACAAGCATGAAAATTTGGACCTCTATTGCTTTTTTCAAGCATATAATCTCAATGCTTTATTATTTAGATTTTTAAATATACATTTTTCAACTAAGCATTTGGATGGATCGAAATACTATCTCTAATTTGATCAAAAGGTTGTACGTTCGAATCTTGATTTAGATTTTAACTTCATAATTTAGATTTTCATTATGTAATACAATTTTCTAAAGATAAAACGAATTTCATTAGTAGTATATTTGAGAGGACATTTAAAAATATGGATTTTGAATAAAAATAATTTTTCTACTCACACTTTTGAAATTGCGTTTGAATATGTTTGAGGAGTGATTTTGATATGTCTATAACCACTCTCACTAATGTCAAAATCACCTTTATTATAAAATAGACATATTTGACAATGATTATAAGGTATTTGAAAAATTGTAGTGATTCCCATCAACGCTTTGGGAGTGATTCTCTAACTAATTTTTTTGTTAGAAAATTAGTTATTAATATGGTTATTGTCTCAAATTTCAAATGTGCCTTCCTAGTTAATCTTACATTTTGAGAAATTTAATTTGTTCATTTCTAACATTTTTGTTAACTTTATTTATCTTTAAGCTGGATATTTCTAAATTTATTTCTCTAAAATTTTTTAATCCCCTCTTCCATCATTAGTCCTAATCTCTCTTAAACTTTTTCTCTCACTTTCTAAAATGATTAAGATTGATTATTAAGACTCGTTCATAACCATTTTATTTTTTAGTTTTTGGTTTTTTTTTGTTTTTGATTTTCTATTTTTCATATATATTTGATAACCATTTTTTATTTAACCAAAACATGTTTGGTAACCAATTTTAGTTTTTTATTTTTAAAAAGTTGGACAATTGAAAATACTACTAGAGAGAGAGAAAATTTTATGTAGTGTAGAGTCAACAATGGTGTGGGTGCGAGTGAGGATACTCTCCCTCATTCTCGGACTCGTGAATATTTTGAGTTTTCGTCTCCACCTCGTTCTTGGGCGGTTCAAGAGATGTTCTCGAGATTAATTATCGGTTTTATAATTGTTTTTAATTATTTTTAGAATTCAAATTTAAAAAGTGTAATAAATATATATTAATTATTTAAAAATGGAATGAGAGATGGAGAGAGGGTCGGGACATGCATTTTCTATTTTTGGGACCCAACCTTGCAGAAATTTTTGTCTCCCCCTAATGTAGAGACATGAAAATAGAGATGTAAATAAACTTTTGGAAGATAATTTTAGAGATAAATAAAAATATTTAGGAAAAAAAATAGTTAAAGAAAACTAAAAGACAGAAACAGACAAATTTTGGAGGAAAAAATAAAGTTGAGAAGAAAATATATGTTATAAATTATAAAGAAAGAGAAAATTTATAGTGGAAATAAATTTAGAGATAAAAACAAGATTCAAAATATAATTTTTATAGAAAATAAATAAATACACAAATAAATGAAATTACAGTGAAAGAAAATTGAACGAGAAAATAAATATAATTTTTAGAGGAAAAATAGATTAGGTACAAACATAAATAAAAGTTATAAAATATGAAATTTTAAAGAGAAAAAAAGTATGAAAAATATTAAATTTTTAGGGAGAGAAATGAAACTGGTATGTTAAAAACAAAAACAAAAAAAAAAGAAAAATTTAGAGAGAGACAAATAACAATAAATATTCAAAATATGAAAATTTTAGAGAAAATAAAGTTTGCAGAGAGAAATTTAGAAATAAACAAATTTTAAAGTGAAAATAAATTTTTTAGAGATAAATATGAGAAAAAAAAAGGTTGAGTAGGTAAAGAAAAAATAGATTTTGAAAAACAATGTTGTTGAAAACTATATTTTTTTAAAAATTTACCTAGAAATTCAAAATGTTTTTTGAAAAATAAAAAACAGAAAATTGAATTGGTTATAAACAATCGTATTTTTTTAAAACTAAAAACAAAAAATGAAATGGTTATCGAACGGACCCTAAATTATATATATATCATGTTTTCTTCCATCATAAAGGATGTTAAATAGTTTTGAAAGATATGTTATTGATTTTGTGATTTTAAAGTCATTTTGAAATCAAACAATAATCATTCAAAATTATTTTTGAATATATAAAAATCACTTGAAAAAATATGCAACAAAACACTAAAATAATTATATAAAATTCACTTGTCATTAAATCACTTTCGTTAAAATTGCTCGTTCTAAAATTATTCCAGAAGTACATGCAGTAAAGTTGAGCTTCTTTTTAAGTAATTTTGGATAACTAAAATTGTTTAATAGATGATTATCTACAAAATGATTGAAAAATAATTCACACGCTTGTAATTTAAGTATGTGTGAGATGATATCTATAATAAAAAGTATAACATAAAAGAGAGAGAGGTCACTCAATGACATAAAATTAATACATATTTTTTAAAATATCACACCTTTTCATTTTTTTTTTAAATATAGTATAATTTTGAGGTTCTTTAGTAAACATTACCTCATATCTAAGTTAGATTTTTTTTTCCTTTTTTTTTTATTGAATTGTGCTATTTTTAAATATTATGCAATTTATGTAAATTAATTAAATGATTCCCAAACTAAATCTGAAATGTCAACATGATTATGACACTTATCTCCAATAAAAAAGTTTGGTTTTGGACAAAATTTTTTTTATCACTAGAAGATTGATCTTCTCCGAGAAGCTGCAGCCTGCATTGTCGGAGAATGGTAAACTTTGAAGTTGAAGCATGGGTACAGTAAAATTAATGAATTATCAGCCCATATACTTTTTTCTAAATATTATATTACAGAATTTAAAAATAAAATTCAAACCTACTCTTAAAAAAACTAGAAAACAAATCAATTGCTTCTAGCAACATTTAAACAAACCACTATATATATATATATATATATATATATAACATTTTTTTAGAAACATATATTTACAGACTACTTCAAATATGTCTATTCCAACACAACATTTGAACGAGAGACAGTGCAAGACTATACAAACGTAGTTAATGAAGGTCTGAAAGAACCAATAGTTACTCTCCATACCAATACTGTGCAAGTACATTCACTTTCAGTGGCCCATTCAGAGTAACGCTAAGGCGAAAGTTCAGCGTGACAAGTGTTTATACCAAGATCGAGACGTACGAGCGTAGAATAAATGCAAGAAGCCCCATAAGGTCCGTGACAAAATATTTATAGCATTAATTATGAAGGGATGTCAGAATAGAACTAATCAATTAATATACAATACATACAAATACAATAAAATACAATAGAAGAGAGAACATAAATGAGAAGAGGGAAACTTGAGTAGTTTAAGTTGGGGCAGATGTTCCCTCAACCATGTACTCTAAAATCACTTCATTTTGCTGCAACCCAACAATGGCCTGTCCCTTCTCTCTTCTCTTCTCCCTCCATTTGACATCTCAACCCCCACCACAACTTTTCTTATGATTGTTATAACATTATTTTGTACTTATTTCCGTTCATGGTCTGAACACAGATTAACGAGTTAAGATATGTTAGTAACTTGATCTTCTGGAGATCGAAAATTTGAACCTCTAGTTTTCTATCGTGTGTGTTGAATATAATACTGGGTAAATAAAAGATAAAAAGTTTGATGTCTGTGTCATTGTTTATTTTGTTTACCTAATCAAATATGTGTATGCATCGACGTTTGCATGAAATCAAAACCAATCATGTTATTGTATGTTTTGGAGTGATTTTAGCATCTTCAAAATTACTTCCATTTACATTGATCATGTTTGTCAAATTAAAAATTTGATTTAAGAAAGTTTAAAATAACTTTAAATTGATCGACAAAATATCATTTCCAAACACGTCCTAAATACTTTTTTTTAATCATAGATCACTTTCAACTACTTTTACAATTTCCAAAATTGTCCATTTTTGCTTATCTTATAAAAACATTATGAAAATTTTATTGGGGGTAGAGAAGTACTTGTTAACTTTTAGTTTACTCGTACAGAAGTGAAAAGTACGAGTATCTAAATATTGTAGGATTAAAAAAATTTAGTAAGCTCTTTTTTTTTTTCTCGTACAACAAAATAAGAAATATGAAAGTCCAAAGACCAAATATGATTTAAATATTTTATTGATCATGTAATAAAACTTTACCTTACCCCATTAACCACTACATTAAAATTTTAGAAAACATATTTAACTTATGTTTTTATTAAATAATTTAAGAAAACATATAATAATTTGGGTGGTTTAAGTATTAAATAATAATTAGTATGAAAACCCAAGCCATGAAAATTGAATTTTAAGTATTATTATTATTATTTTGTGGGTATTAAATTGAATGAATTGAAGGGATCCAAAACCTGTCATGTCTCCTTTTCCAACAATTATATATATGTTATCCAAGACATACTTATGTCTTTTTTTGAATTTCCTATCTTTTTTTTTTTCAATATTATGTTTAAATATGTCTATGGGATTTCTTTTGGCTTATATTGTATATCTCAACAGATTTGATGTGCCATGTTTTTATTTATTTTTTCCATTAAATTTTATTTCTCATGTGTTATCAAATATATGTATAGATGATATACTTCTTAATCAAAACACAATGACCACATAGTTTGTAAAATCAATAAAAGCAAACTATTTATATCCACAATTAATTAAATTAACTAAATGACAAAAGATTAGACAAATCATATCATACAGGAATCGTTGATGTTATTTAAACCTTTATGGAACAGTAATAACATTAATTTTTATAAATCAATATGAATTATCTAAGATCTTTATTAAATAAAAATTTAAAAGAAATTAATGTAAAGTTCACTAGTATATGAAATAATACAAAAAATCAGTATAAGGAATTTTTTTTTTTTTTTTTTGAAGAAAAACTCAGAATTAGGTTCAGACCATAAAAATATGGAAATCATTGAGAGTTTTAGAAAATGTCTAACATACTTGTATTTTAGCCAATATAAAGTCTAAATTTTCAGTGAACTTTACATTAATTCTTCATTTAATAAAAATCAATCTTAGACTATTCAAAATGTCAACATCTAGTTTAAACCATAAAAATATATAAATTATTATTTTTTTAATACAACAAGGTATAGAGTGAGATTCGAACTTACGATCCAGATACGTAGTTTAACAAGTCAAGCTAAACTTAAAGTTAACAAAATAGAGTTTGCATTAATTTTTATAGCATGTGAAACCTACCCATTTAAAAAGAATTAAAAAAAGGTAATTAAATCATTTTAAAACTTTAGAAATTAAATAAACACCACACCACGGGTATTTGGATAGTAACTTTGTATTATAAGATCGAAATTACAAGTTTGATATCCAAATTTTTAAGATCATATCTAATAAATCTATAAATTTAGTTTTCAATAGTTTCTTAAACTTTTATGCTTGTTTCCAATATGTCTATAGACTTAAAAAATGTCTATTAGGTCATCAAACTTTAAATTTTATGTCTAATAAATTTCTTAATTTTACATAATTTACAATAAATCAATAACTTATTAAATCCCAAATTAAAAGATCTAAAAACACACCCTTCAACTTTTATGGTAGATGGACCTCAAAATCTTGAATGATTTCAAATTTGGACAAATTTCAAATTAATTCATATGTTTGTTATACCGGAATTCAATAGTGTTTTTATGTAAAAAAATTTCATAAACAAAATCATGGGGTTTTCCAGAATTTCATAGAATTTAAAAATAAATTACTTTGTTAACTGTGTCATATTTTAATTTTTAAATAATAAATTTAGACTAAAAGGTTAAAATAAATAAAAAAATTTATTGTCAAAACGAGCGATAATTCACATCATCTCAATCCAATAAGATGTAAATTCGCACATCCACCCCTACCTCAAATAAAAGAAATAAAACTTTTTATTTTAATTCTATTTTCAGCTAAGAGAGGTATTGGAGATTTATTAATAAATAAAAGGGTTGGAGTTTGGATTGGGGGAGGAAACCAAAACACTGTCTTCTTCTTCCTCTGCTCTCCATTCTTCTGTCTCCGTTTCCTTTCCATTAGGGTTTTTTTTCCTCCTCATTTTGTCGCATTACTTCAATTTCTCCTCCATTTTCCCCCAACCACGAATTCACGTTTTCGTCCCTTCTCTCTCTCTGCGATTCACGGCGATGGTGGAAGAACTGAAGGCGGACGGCGGCGGAGCCCTGGACGACGACATTGACGACGGCATGAGGTGCGCTTACCATCCCTACCGGAGCAGCCATGGCGGGATCTGTGCTTTATGTCTTCAAGAGAAGCTCGGGAGATTGGTTTCTTCGTCTTCTCCGGTTCCTCTTCGAGCTTCCTCTTCCTCTTCTTCCTCCTCGTCTTTCAGATCTGATTTCGCCGCCGCCGCGGCCTCTGCGGCTTCGTCGGCCAAATTTGGGGCCGCCGATGGAGCCGGCTGCCACGATCGTCACGCGGCGCGGAATCGAATCCCTTTTCTGTTGAATAAGAAGAAGAAGAAGCCGGAGGTTGGTTTCCGGCGGAGTAAATCGACTGCGACTCCCGGGAGAGGGAAATTTCTTGATCCATACGACGGCGGGGATTTTATTCCCAAAAACAGGGGATGGATTTGGTCTCTGTTTGATCTTTCTAAATCCTCCAGGAAAATCGATCACAGTTTGCGGGAGAGTTCGAAGATCGCGTCTCTACCGACCGCCGCGATCGCCGTGAAGCAGAAGGAGAAGTACGCGGAAACGGCCAGAGACTCTGCCGGTGCGGCGGAGGACGACGGCGCCGACGACAGTCCGACCAGCAGTCAAGCCACTGCCTCCGTCTCGTCGTTTGAAAGGAAGGTGTCGAGATCCAGATCCGTCGGGTGCGGCAGCCGGAGTTTCTCCGGCGACTTCTTCGAGAGAATCTCCACCGGCTTCGGCGACTGTACTCTACGGAGAGTGGAATCTCACAGAGAAGGCAAACCCAAACTAACCACCGCCGTCTCCGCCGCCGTGCACGGCGGCGACGATGAATGCTTGAAAGAGCGGGTGAAATGCGGCGGGATATTCGGCGGGTTCATGATCCAGACATCGTCGTCTTCGTCTTCCGGCTCTTCATCGTACTGGGTATCATCATCCTCCGGCGAAGAGGGGAGATTTCCGGCGGCGGCGTACGTGCAGGGGCGGAGCAAGAACAGAGGGTGGACATTTGCCAGTCCGATGAGGGCGTTCGTGAAGCCGCCGTTTTCTTCCTCAGAGGGAAAGAGAGAAACATCCGAAAAGAATTCGTCAACTCCAAGTTTGGACGCCATTCCTTCATTGCTGGCTGTAAGAATCTGAACACAAATTTAAAAATTTTACAGTTTCAAAAAATGAAACTGAGAATTAAGATGGCACTGCTTTTAATTAAATGTTAATGAGAAACAGATATGAAATGGATTATTATTAATTTTTTTTTTGTGGTTTAATTTGTCAGTGGTTATTGTAAATCATGTTAGAGGAGGAGGGTGGTGAGTCAAACCTTTTCAAGTGTTGCTTTGTTTGTGTATTCGAATATTATGGAGTCATTGACTGGTATGACCGGTGGTCGGGTTATTTTTATTATTTTCTTTCTCGTGTACTAAATATCTGCAAAATAATTTTTTTGGTCATCAATCGATAACATGGATTTATTTTCAATTTAGAGTTATTATCGTCAATAAATTTTATTTCTGTAATTTTCCAACACCTTATGTTTTCAAATTTCATTATATGAAAAGGAGGAATATTCTAAATTTAATTTTTTACGCTAGAGTTAATTTTAACATAGTAAACCCATTGACAATATTATAAATGCAAGTTAAATACAGTTTCAATGTGGCACATTTTATCTATACTCTCTAGGTTTTAGGTAGTATCTCATGGATACTATTCGAGTTGTTACGGTGTCTTTGATTTTTATTTTGAAACTTCTACTAAATAGTACAAAACAAATATGTATTTATAAAAATATCAATGTAATTTTTTGTTAAATTTTAAACCTAATGTTATATATTTAAATGCATATTAGCTTTTGTCTTTAGAGCCGATATTTGATTTTGTGGTAACATTCAAGTACTTTTTTTGGATCTTAGCATTTATGGAGTTTTCTTTTTTGATAATTAGTTGGTTAAATTTAATATCATCCGACAACTGATGATATGAGATTATGATAGCTCACTAATTGATGAACATATTTCTAAATTATTATTTATATAGTATAATTTCGATCTATATCTTGTGTTTAGTTGGCTGGTTAGAAATACTATTTGTTAATTTGTTAAAAGTTGATTATAAAAATGAGAAATTAGTTAGTTTAGTGTTGTAAGTTGTAATAATAGAATGCTAGTAATAGCTAGATTCTCATGGTCACGTGCATCACATGTGCCACTGTATTGAAGAGAGAGGATCTCGAGGAGCTATTGGGCCGGGCCTTGCTATGGACTATTATATATATCATCGCTTAATATTCAAAATAGTATTATACAATTGTGGTATAATTTGTTGTAGGTCGGATATTTGAGAGATGTTATTTGAGAGTGGCTGAATCCGAAAATAGTTTAATAGTGCAATTGTTGAACTAAGAAAAGAGAAGTATATTTTTTATTCGTATGAATATGAAATATAATTGTTGTTGTGAATGATGATGCCAAATTTTAGATGCAAAAGTATATTATCATCGTCGAAGTAGACTACAAGACAACAATATTGAGCGATCAAGTTGGTTTGCTAACACTAGTGTTTCTTTTTTCTTTAGTTTGAATTCATCAAACATTCTCAAATTGATGTTTAACCAGATGTACACCAATGAGAAGTGAGGAGAGAGACTCTTATTAGATGAGAATTTTGTTTTTGCAAAATATTAGATAAGAATTAATATATCTTGAATAAAAATCAAATCATATATGTTTTAACTTTTTCACGAGAGTGTTGTTTAGCTCACAATTTAAATTAGTCCCAACTTATGAAAATCAAGTTTAAATATAATAATCTAGAACTAACATAGGTTAATTTATAATTTTAAAAAATTAAGATATAGTCTCAAATTTTAAACTCCAAATTACAACGATATATCACTAGCCAAATATTATTCGTTCGACGCTTTGAGATATATTTTAAAAAGTTAAGATGTAGACTGCCATCATTTAAACTATTGCTGTCGCGTCGGCGGAATTTACATGTAAGAGTACTAACTTCCGGTAGTAGAACGAAATTCATGAAAATGGATGCCAAGATGATCACCAGTTGAACAATCTTTCTGTTCACAGCCTCTGCATTGTAGAATTCTTCTAGACAATTTTTACTCTTTGTTTAGTTTCATTCAAACAATTTAATAGTCATTTATTTAATAAGTAAATATAAATAATAATTACTTTCAATATCACTACAAGTACAATATATATCGACAAACAAACTCTAAATTTTTGGAAATTCACCTATTAATTCCATGAAGATTAATAATAAGCCTGTATGTAAAAACACATGCACACATTGGAAATTAGGTTTGTTGTGGGTCTGAAGTTGAAGAAGAAATGATGAGAGGTTGGGTTAGGCAATCTTTTTCAGAAGATGTGGTAGAGCTCTTCAATGGCAACAATGGCTTCGCATTTCTGTAAATTCCATACAGCAACAGCTCCGCCAATCCCAACCCTAATCCCATTCCATTTGGAACCTGCACCCGTTATAGCATAAGTAATTCTCAATTTTATCCTAATGTTACAAAATTTCTCGATCGATTAGGTCTTTTCTTACACGAATAAAAAGATCGATGTATTACTAACTTATTGTTTTATTTTATATATTTCGATGCGTGAATGTGTCGACCCAAAACTCGCCTAGTTAACAAGATATAATCTTTATCTTAACTGCATGGAAAGCTCATTTCTTCTAAATGGCATGAATACGTTAAACAAAATAAAAATTTAATGGTTATTAACAAAATTTAGTACATTAAAGATAAATTTGAGAATTTTAAAATATTAAAGATAAATTAGGAGGGAAAAAATTGGAAACTTTTAATTTTTTGGAAACAAAGCTCTTTAATTAAGGTATCACAATCAAACTTTTTGTTTTTTGGTACAATAACATGTGTGATTAAGAATAAGAATTCAAACTCACTTATTTTTTAGCCATTCTCAAATTGACTATCACAGTTCACGATCGCTAAAAAAATAATTATGAAGAAGAATAGTAAACAGGGATAAATAATATTAAGGGCCTTTTTGTTAACATTCCCGCTCCTCTTTTCTTATTCCAATTTTATTAAGAAATCTAAGTATTTTGCCATTAATTTTATTTCTTGTTGTATGTAAATTTTGGAAATAACCAAAAAGAAATTTCTTTTTCCTTGTTCCCATTTCCAATTTGTTCCAAATCATTGAAAAAAATTTGTTTCATAATTATGTTGGAACCCATGCCATTTATTTTTTTTTTTATAAAAAATGAATAAATAGAAT